TAAACTGACATATTTTTACATCACTGGTAATCCTGGCAGTGGCAAATCTCAACTTGCAGGACAGGTTTGTGAAAAAATATCGTGTGATTGGAAAAATAGGACTTCGTTTGTAATGACTTTCGATGGAAAAAATGAAGAATCTCTTTTAAAAAATTACTGTGAACTTGGATACCGTTTAAACTGTGACAAGCATATGATTAAAAAATTTAAAGACGAAAACTGTTCCATCACAGACAAAGTGAAGAATTTGCGATGGTTAGTATCCACACGATTAAAATTCTGGCAAAATTGGTTGATCATTGTAGACAACGTGGAACAGCTCAGCAAAATTTCTTCATTACTTCCCCAAGTTGGTGATCGCATGTGGATAAATGGACAAATCATATTAACCATCCAGAACACAGATGCCGTACCTCAAGAAGATGAGTTTAACAAACATATTTCTATCAGAAGTGGAATGAATGACAGGGAATGTCTTCAACTGTTGAGGCATTACACTGTTGAAAATACTGATGATCAATTGTTGAATGAAGTATCGCACGTATTAGATCGTCAACCGCTGGCTTTGGCTGCTGCTGGTTATTATGTCAGTCGTGTAAACAAAGCAAACTGCTCATTTACTTGGAGTCAATATTTAAAGAAAATTTCTTCTTCAGAAGAAGAAAACATGGACGCCACTTTTGTTAAATTTAACTCGGCATATCCTAGAAGTATGTTACAAGCTTCACTTTTAGCTGTCAGACAAAATGCTGAAGAATCGTCATTATTGGCAAATGTTATTATTTTGTTTTCCGTGATATCGTTTGATCCTATACCACGAGACATTATTATTTGTTATGTTCAAAAAATAGATCTTAAACACTCAAAGGAAGATATATGTCTTTCTTTAAAGGACTGCTCATTGTTCTTGCATTCAAAAAATAATGACCTTAGTCTACATCGCATTGTTCACAAAGCAATTACTGTTTATCAATTTGAACATTCAAATGAAGAACATGAAATGGAAAGTAACGTTGATCATATATGCAAAGCACTTTACATGTTTAAAGAGAGAGACGACGAAATCAAATTAATGCCACATCTTGAAAAACTTATTCAATTATTAAGGACCAACAAGACAAAAATCAACATGAACACATTTCAAGTTTTCCAATATTTTGTTGACAGATTAGGACATTTTGGAAAATACGATCTTGCTCTTGAACTATTGGATAAATTTAAATCAGAAGAATCTAGTTATGACAAAGCTTGGTATTTTAGTATCCTCGGTCTTTTATACCACGACACCGGAAAATATAGCAAAGCTAAAAATCATCATGAAAAAGCTTTGGAAATTCGAAAACAATCGTTAGGTCCAAATCATGTTGATGTCGCTGCGTCTTTAAACAATCTTGGTATGGTGTTACATAAAACTGGAAACTACGACAAAGCTATAGAGTTTTACGAAAAAGCTATGGAAATTCGAAAACAATCGTTAGGTCCAAATCATGTTGATGTTGCTAGGTCTTTAAATAATCTTGGTAATGTGCTTGAAGAAACTGGAAACTGCGACAAAGCTATAGAGGTTCACGAAAAAGCTCTGGAAATTATAAAACAATCGTTAGGTCCAAATCATGTTGATGTCGCTAGGTCTTTATACAATCTTGGTAATGTGTTTAAAAAAACTGGAAACTACGACAAAGCTATAGAGTTTCACGAAAAAGCTCTGGAAATTAAAAAACAATCGTTAGGTCCAAATCATGTTGATGTCGCTACGTCTTTAAACAATCTTGGTGTGGTGTTATATGAAACTGGAAACTGCAACAAAGCTATAGAGTTTTACGAAAGAGCTCTGGAAATTAAAAAACAATCGTTAGGTCCAAATCATGTTAATGTCGCTGGGTCTTTAAACAATCTTGGTGTGGTGTTTTCTAAAATTGGAAACTACGACAAAGCTATAGAGTTTCACGAAAAAGCTCTGGAAATTCGAAAACAATCGTTAGGTCCAAATCATGTTGATGTCGCTATGTCTTTAAAGAATCTTGGTTTGGTGTTTGATAAAACTGGAAATTACGAAAAAGCTATAGAATTTCACAAAAAAGCTAAGGAAATTCGCAAAAAAACGTTAGGAACTAGTCAGGTTGATGTCGCTAAGTCTTTTAAACAATCTAGGTGTGATGTATTATGAAACTGGTGAACATACAACGCTTTACAGTAACTCTTTGGTAGCTACGTGTTTCAAGAAAATTGTGCCTTCCAAATTACGTTAAGCCTACTTTAAAGTAAACTCCCCTCTCCCTGAGAAGGTATTTTTGGTAATGAACAAAACGTTTGCAGTTTGCATTTTGTGAGGTAAATGAACCTAAAGATGTAATGGTCCTTGTCTATACAAAGTTTCACTGATATCTAGTCAATAAACTTACTCTACAGCCCAGTTATGTTATAACCAAGTTGTAATTTTTATTGTATGATTCACAAACATACTAAAGTATATTGGGATGACAGAATTTTATGACATAAATTTTGTTAAATAAATACTATCCTGTTAGTTTTTCATATTCTTTGATATATTCAGTAATTTTTTACTCAGTTCCATAAGCCTATGACCATATTCCAGGTTCTTATAATTTCCAAGGGGTACAACTTTCATACCATACATGCCACCCCACCATGCTGCAGCCAATATTCCTGTACTGTCACTATCTCCACCATGAAACATAGAACAAGAACACAATTGAAACCAGGAATCTTTTGCCATCATCAAAGCATCTTAAGCAATCATTGGTGCATCATGACCACTGTATCCACCCCAACCTGCATAACTCATAGATTTATAAAAAGCATCACGTTCAGGTATGTTATATGTCACTGGAAACTTTGGTTCACTGTTTCCATTTGGTTGATTCCTGTAGTTCAAGATATGACTCCCAACTGTCTTTAAAGTAGCCCCAAGATTTCTTGTTTTCTTCTATATACGACGAACCTTCTCAATGTATTCCCAAAGTTTGGGTAAAACACTTAAAAGTTCTGCTCCTCATTTTTTTGGAGGTATCTTCTGTCTAGCATAGGCTGTAAATAAAGCTGCAGTAACAGCCCCTAGATAACCTATAATTAAAATCTTTATCTTTAAAGATTGCTAATTTCAGGTCACTTACATTATGATGACCTTATTTACATAATAGTAGTATTTTGATATGGATCATGGATTCAATGGCCGTAGTAGTGAAGATATAAAAGCAAGAAATGCAATGGCAATTCAAACAGCTTTTAGGAGACAGAAATTTGGAAATGTGGAAAATCGATAAAAAGGATGGATCAAAGATATGGTTATTTGAAGCGAGCAATGTTAGAAGGATGAAGGCATTTGAGATGTGGTTCTAGAAAATGATGGATTGCATAGACTTATGCAAACGTAATGTCACTGTAAACTTTGGTTCACTGTTTCCTTTGGTTAATTCCCGTAGTTATGACTACCAACTATTTTTAAAGTAGCCCCAAGATTTCTTGTTTTCTTCTACATCACAACCAACCTTCTCAATGTATTCCCAAACTTTGGGTAAAACACTTAAAAGTCCTGCTCCCCAACTTCTTGGAGGTATCTTTTGTATAGCATATGCTGTAAATAAAGCTGCAGTAACAGCCCCTAGATAACCTATAATTAAAATCATTATCTTTAAAGATTGCTAATTTCAGGTCACTTACATTATGATGACCTTATTTACATAATAGCGGCATTTTGATATGGATCATGGATTCAATGGCTGTAGTAGTGAAGATATAAAAGCAAGAACTGCAATGGCAATTCATACAGCTTTTAAAAGACAGAAATTTGGAAATGTGGAAAAGCGATAAAAAGAATGGATCAAAGAGATATGGTCATTAATAGCAAGCAATATTAGAAGGATGGAGGGATTTGAGATGTGATTCTTGAAAATGATGGATTGCATAGACTTATGCAAACCTAAGGTCAACTATCTTTTATTTCATTTATAAATTGATTATAGATAAAAGGATATGAAACATTCATGGTAATGGCTTGTTCAAGTAAGTAATCGAAGGAAGAGTTGAAGGTTAAACATCTAAGAAAAAGAAAACAATTGAAAAGCTAAATTACTATAAAGGTGTGTCAAAATGAAAACAAATGCAGATAACAGGAAAACCTAGCAAACTGTATACTGAGCAACACTTGTCGATAGACAGAACACTTGACATTAGTGACTTGATAATTGAGACACGATCTGAAATCGTTGTTTTATTATGAAAGGTGAATACCTGTGGGGTGATTATGAGTCATACTTCCACTTTCAACAGCAATTTCAATTAACATTTCAATTTGATCTTCACAAGGAAACATCAAACCTATACACATGGATCTCATAGCTGCACCACATCCGCCACCACGTTCATTAAATGGTATAATGTAACCTTTTTCCTTAAGAGGTTGTAACATGAAACATGCCTTTGTTGTGGTTTGCCCAGGAGCTCTTTCCCACATATCCTCAGCACATGTCTTCTTGTACTTTGTAGCCATAATGCTCAATAACTCTTCCGTTGTTGTACATTCAGAAACCAACGCTTCTGCTGTAGCAATGTGTAGTACAGTGTCGTCACTAAGCCTCCATCCTTTAATGTCAATTTTATCAAGTCCTCCGAGTTTTTCTAGTTCTTCATGAATTTGAGTACCACTGTAACAGAATTCCCACAAACCATTCTTATAACCTAGAGCATCCCCACTGAGAACCATAACTGCTTCGTATTTCTGGTATAATTCGACCGTATTTTCATAAGCGATTTTTAATGTTTACTTCAGGGCATTTTTATGAAGGCTTAACATGGGTTTTCGAAACGCGGAAAACACCAGGCGTACCTCAACTTATAAAAACAAAAATCTTTTCTTTGCTTTGTTTCAATATTGTTTCAAACTATTCTGTTTAGATTTAGACGAGAGCGTTGGGAGACTGGGACTGTTATTTTGAAATCCTTAATCTTTACCGGATTCCTTGATCTTCAATCTGATTAACATGTTGCTTGTTGCAAAGATACGTTAAGAGTTGAAAAAGCTTTTTCAGCGATAATATTCGAAAATATGGCGTTTGCATTGGTGAATTTTTACAACGAAAATACATGGGATATCATTCCATATTCTAACATCATTTTTTAGGATAAAAATATGTCGAAAGACAAAGATGAACTTAAAGGATTCAAAACGTTAGTCATGTGGGGCGATGGAAAAACAAAGGGAAACGGCAAGTCGAGGAAATTTCCTGCAGAGATAATAGAGGTTTCAGGTTAGTATTTTTAGTCTGTTGTAGAATTTTTTGTCAAGTTTCTAAAAGCTTGTATAATTCAGCCAAAAAGCTAATTGCTAGTGCATCAAGCTCTTCTCTTTGTTATCATTTCTTTCATGAAACATCTTAGCTTTGCTATATATCTGTAAATTTCTGTGTGAAAATCTATTTGTTTATTTCTTTGTCTTGTTTGTAGAAATAGTCATAGTTGATATGAAGGTTGCTGTTATTAATTCAACTTACTGCTTTTTTAGGAGGGAAATACTTTCTGATAAAAAGCCTTTGCTCCAATGTTGTTCTTTCTTCTACATAGCAATAGTTCAATTACAATACTGACAATAAGGATGTGTCTATTTCCCAGATTTTAACTTGTTTCCTTTTAAATACATGTAGTAATACATTAGGCCAAACTTTGCATAAGGTTGTTTCCTTATAATTTCAGGCATGCTACTGCTTCCAATTGAAAATTATTTTTTTTAATAGTTGTTAAATAGTCATCCATTATTTTGTATAAACAGATAGTAAAGATTATTTGCTCAAGACAATGAGTAAAGAAGAAACTTTCTCTATAAATACTGGCAAAGGGTGTTGCAAAAGAATTCACAAAGCAAAGTTTAAAATTGAAAGTGATATTGAATCAGATGATGTGGTGAGTTGCCCAAAATATTACATTGACCACATTTTGTTTATATGGTGTTTACTGCATGTTTCTCAATTATTGATGCCATCATCTATAGTTAGCACTCATGTCACTAATGTGATGATGCATTCATGGAAATTTGTTAAGTACTCCATATGGTATTCATGATTCAAATGTTATTCGCTACTAATTCTATGTTCGAAGGTCTGCATTGCTGATCAAGGCTATGAGCCTAAGAATTTAAATTAGAAGTAGTAGCTAATAACAAACTTTTCAAACAACATGTATGAAATTTTGTATTGTTGTTCTTGTTACCAGCAGGAGCACAGTATTCCTAAAAAGCTAAAGACATCCAGGGCAAAGAAAACAGAGGCTTGCTGCTCAGTCAGTCTTGCTTCACTTATAAAAGAGTGATTAACCAAGGTATGTACTATACACAATGATAACACTAATTATTCTTATCTCTAAATTACGCAATTTTATTAATAATAAGTAATGCTTGGGATTTAAGGTCATTTTTCAGAATAAAATTTGGATGTTGTTTGGTTAAATGCTAAAAAAGTTGATACTGTATGATATGTTCCCGTTAATCATAAAATGCTGTTGATTTGAAATTCATTTCTTGTTTCTAAGTGAAAAATCTTTTAAAATGCAAACATTGTACAGTGTAAGGCTTGTATAGGGCAATCATACAAAAGAATTTTCAATCAGTGGGGCTTATGAAATTAAAAAATTGAGAATTATCATTATAATATATTGTACTTGTTAGTGAAGTACACCTTAATAGTTGGTACTAAAAGGAAAATATTGTTAAATATTGCCTAAGTTCTTGTTGATTATTTAGGAGAGTCAGTCAGATGAAGGTAGTGCACTTTGCAATGATAAATGCAAGTATAAAAAAGCCTTGGAACTCAAAGAGAGGGTAAAAATGCTGGAAAATCAGATCAAAAGACTTAATGAGAAAATTGAGAATGACAATGGTGAGCTTGAGGAAAATTTACTTTATTTGTATTTTCAAATCAATGCTTTCCATGCTTTTTAGTTTTGTCTTCCAAAATGGAGAAATTTGTAAATTGCTTGTTCTATACAGTATATTTTGGATTTGAAATTTAGTATTTCTGGGAAAAACAACAACTCAATATTACGTAGTGTCATCAACCTTTAGAAGCTTATGATATATCATTTAAAAATTCATAGATTTAAGAACTTCATAAAAAAGTTAAGAAGATATGTGTGTACCTTGGAAGATTTCGCCAGGTCACTTCCACAAAGATCATTTCTGACCAGAACTTCCCTCAGTAAATCCCCGTCCACCACATCTTTTTTTCACTCATTAAAGGTTTGCCTGTGATGGAGAATAGATTCACCCCAGTTTCATCTGGGAGAAGTAGCTCTTACTCAAACCTTTCAAATCTTCCAGAAGAAAACCCTTCCCCATAACAACTGCTGTGTTTGAGAGCTCTATCAATTGACTATCAAATGAAACCAACCAAACTTTGGAAGAAAGCCCTCTGGATTGCTCAAATGCAACAACTGAAGATACTTCTGTCTCCGAAATGGTGTGTTTTGTCTGTACCTAGCTTTAAATGGTACTAAGCATTAGATTTGGTTGATAAACTAACATGCAGTTAAAACAGATCTATTAGAATCAATTAATTATGTAAAACTGACTCATCAAATGGACATAATTCAAGTTGTAATGTGCAGCAATCCTTTTTAAAATTATTTACGTTTGTTTTTAGAATCGTAACTGAGGGTTACTTTTTCATGAACACTTTGAGTAAATAAAATAGCTCCATTTAATTGGAGATGGAACATTTGCAACTCCAGTAATATAAATTTCACATGCTGTTATTCTTCAATTTATTTCAGGTCAATTTGGGACGAAATTTGGTTGTCAAAATGCATGTCTTTAAAAGAATCGTTGCAAAGAAGGTTGGATCATATGTTGCTGACTTAATGGGGGCAACCTTATCCTGTGAACACATGGCTACCCACAGCTACAAGGGCCAAAAAGGGAAAAATGGTCAGGTGAAGCCTCGGCTTGATCCCACATACACTACTTCTTTAATTCGTAAGTAGATATATGGTTATTTGAGTCTGAGTACCGTTGAAATTAAACTTTAAACATTTCAAGGACTTTTTTCAGTATAAATATTTAGACTCTGCATTTTCAAGCACGTTTGACCTGCCGTAAACATCTATTTTTTACATGTTCTCCTATGCAGACATAGCATATTGTTCAAACATCCTCTGTGCCATGTCTTGTATGGGACAATAAGTGGTAATAATGAAAATTTATGTTGAGTTTGAGTTACTCGCCATATCTCTTTTCGTAATATACTCTATACCTTCAGTAACAACCACGAGTGAACTTAATGATCGAACTGATTTTTATTATTTTACAGAGCAGTATTTATAGTCTTTATTACAAATAACAAATATTATTATTGGTCGGTATAGTTCCTCTATTTAAGCTATATATGGTACATAAGGAAATTTAACTAACGTCAATAACTGTTCCTTGGCTCTTAGCCGTGGGAACGGATACATTGGTAAACCAAACTACGCACAAACTATTTCCTTAACATGTTTCTGTGGTTTATGAGCATGACTCAACAATTTAATGCATTTTTAATATTTTAAACTTACTGTGAACTACTATGTTGTTTTGATACTTTGTGTTTGTATTGAAGACTTAGTCAAGTTTATTACCTTTTTCGCTGACTTCCCACGTTATGATCTATCAGAAAATATCCTTTAGAGTTGAGGTGGACATTATTCCTCTATCTTTTTTCTAGAGCATGCAACGAGTGTGAAGTATTCAAATATGCCACGCCAGGTTATAGAAGAAGATGTTGTAAAAGCTATAAAGTTCAAACTTAATAACGAGTAACAAGCATGGAAAATACAACACGAATCCTGTAAAGTGTAACATTAGCTGTCTATAGTATATTTTTCTATTAATTCTGTCCATACAACTTAATGATATTTTTCTGTAAAGGAAAAAAATTGGTGAATATTTTTATCTGGTTAAAATACAATGTATAATTAAAATATCGTGGATTCATGGTTTTGTTGAATTCTGTATAAAATAATGTGTACTACTAGAACCTGTACAGGGAATTTGCTAAATTCCGTTTATGAAACCCTTAGTTAATGAACTACATTATAACATAGATTCATTGGAAAACTGTAGTTCAAGGAAAAATATAGTTTTGAAAACTGTAGTGTTTGGGAACAAAACTATAAATTGTAAAACTATAGTTCTCCCAAAACTTTAGTTTCTATAACTATAGTATCCCCAAAACTATAGTTCCGAAAACTAGAGTTTATTCATACAACTATAGTTTTCGCAACTATAGTTTTTGTTCCAAAATAGTACAGTTTTCAAAACTATAGTTTTGACTTGAAAACTATAGTTTATTTTTGTAAGGGTTGAACCAACTTTTTGCAAGTACCTTTTTTAAAGTACAGGCTGTAAATTAAGGTGCAGTAATAGCCCCTAGACCATCTAACGACAAAATCATTATCTTTAAAAGTTGTTCATTTCACATCTCTCACATTATGATGAGCCTATTTACATAATAGCAACATTATGACAAAGATTATGACAGCTGTAGTGTAGAGACAAAAGGAAGATGAACAATGGCAAAAACTACTTTCATCTTTGCGTATGTTTATACAAACCGAGGATATATTTGTTGGAACTTGAAAGCAGATGAGTACAAATTCAAGACTGGAGGTCAAAAATCTTTTTCCCTTTTATAAAATAACAAGTGCAAAACAGATATTTGTTTTTTAGGTACCATGTTTTAATGATTGATTTGAAAATTCTCTTTACTTGATTGATTTAATTGATTGAACTCAAATGGGTTCCACTTTAACATAGTCACTGTAACCAATTTTACCTTTAATTATGAGCTTTTTCTCGAATCACATGATACATATATATACTATTACATAACTCAAAAGCGATGAGCAGCTAATTTTTTTGTGAAACCTTCAAAGAACTGACGAACACATACAATTCTTGTTCATTGATCTTTAGTTTCTACAATAAATACATTAATTTCTATTGGCACTCCTCGGCCACCGTACACGAGTGTGGACACGCAAGAGTGGATAGGATATTGGCCATGTATCGACTGTTGAAACTCTCACCTTTCTCCACTCAAAAGTTCATATGATGTTGCTGAAGTCTTAGCTTTCCAGAACGTTAAAGATGAAAACCTAAAAATTTATCCGAACAACATTTCCAACAACAATCTGCTTATCAAAAAACACATAACTGCCATCTACAACAAGGTATGTGTGTTGATATGTCTGTATATAAGGAAGTTAAATTGCTTATTATAGCAGTTATTTGTCGTTCGGTTCAGTCGCTATATTTGTAAAATATCTGTTATTATATTCATGCTTGAGGAAGCAAATTTACTTGAAATTGCAATTGTAACATGTCATCATCGAATAGTTAAATATTTAGGTCGTTTTAGAAGCAGAAATACAAATATTTTAATGATGAAATCGGTGTATCTTTGCATTAAAATATACAGCATCGCTTATTAAATTTAAGTTCCTAATTTTCAATGCAGCAAAATAGTTTTGGTAATCTTTATACATTGTCACGACATAACATTATCAATGTCGATTGTGCTCAATTTAATGCGCTTTTGCTTTCATTCTTTGTTTTTCATAACAATCTATTCATACAACTTCCAGAATGTTAAATATCAGAACCTGAAAGTTTCAACCGTCGAACAGTTGAATGTTTGTAAGACATAAAACAAAGAATTATCATGCGTGTTTACGCGGTGTATAAATGTGACTTTAAAATGTAAATTGTTCGCCAACTGTTAAGTCATTTATACACTTTTTATAAATTTAGTCTTACCCTACAACGAAGCAACGTATGAAGTGCAAAGGCTAAGTCTTTAATTATATATGTTCCACTGTAATATTTTACTAAAACCTTCAAAATAATAGCTTCAGCTCCCCCAAACCCCTCCCCCACCCCTCCCAAGGTTTAAACATCCCTTTCCTAATACCATAAATTTTATATAAAAGATAACCCTTAGCAACTTGTAATGCTGTAGTTTTAGATCAATCAAACAAAGTTACAAATTCAAACAACAACAATTGCTTACTAAAAACAAATCACTGTCATTTGAAGCCAGGTATGTTTACGATGATGTGTTTGTATGTTAAAGTAGTTAAATACCTGGTATAAATTATTAGTTGTTCAATGAAGACGGTCTATTTGTTAAATATATGTGTTATTTCTTTTACTTTGTGATGTATTAAATCACATTTATGCCTGATTAAACAAATTTATTTTAAAATTGAATATTTATGTCACCTTTCAATATATAAGTATTCTTTCTAAACTACCAAAATACTTTATAAACAACTCAATTGGTTAAAAATTTATCGTCAAAATATTCTTTAGAAACTTTAACTAACAGAATTATTGGTATGATATTTTAAATCTATGATGAGGTGCTATAATGTTGTATTCTGACTTACCTTGATCTGCCACTGTGAAAAAAGTATCAAATGTTTTTGTTGTTTATTAACACATTTTCTTATTTAATTTAGGTTCATAAAACCATCTTTTATTGCTACAAACACTTTATCTGACATCATTGAGAAATGGCAAACTTGTGATTCAAATATGGACGACTTTGTGTAAAGCTTAAGGTACCATACACTTGCCTCTCTTATCTGCGCATGCAAAGCGAAAAAAGGAATTTTGTTTGACAAAGGAAACTTTTTCTATCATTTCATTTTGATACAATTCCTCAAATGTACATCTCATCACAGTCCTTTCTAACTCATAACTATGATTCAGACAAGCTTCATTACACTAAATTCAGTAGTTCTTCTATCTCCACATGCTTCAGTAGTTTTTCTATGTACACATGCTTCAGTTGTTTTTCTATCTACACATGCTTCATGGTTTTTCTATCTACACATGCTTCATTAGTTTTTCTATCTACACATGCTTCAGTAGTTTTTCTATCTACACATGCTTCAGTAGTTTTCTATCTACACATGCTTCAGTAGTTTTTCTATCTACACATGCTTCAGTAGTTTTTCTATCTACACATGCTTCAGTAGTTTATCTATCTACACATGCTTCAGTAGTTTTCTATCTACACATGCTTCAGTAGTTTTCTATCTACACATGCTTCAGTAGTTTTCTATCTACACATGCTTCAGTAGTTTTCTATCTACACATGCTTCAGTAGTTTTCTATCTACACTTGCTTCAGTAGTTTTCTATCTACACATGCTTCAGTAGTTTTCTATCTACACATGCTTCAGTAGTTTTCTCTACACATGCTTCAGTAGTTTTTCTATCTACACATGCTTCAGTAGTTTTTCTATCTACACATGCTTCAGTAGTTTTCTATCTACACATTTTATATCTACACATGCTTCAGTAGTTTTTCTATCTACATGCTTCAGTAGTTTTCTATCTACACATGCTTCAGTAGTTTTCTATCTACACATGCTTCAGTAGTTTTCTATCTACACATGCTTCAGTAGTTTTTCTATCTACACATGCTTCAGTAGTTTTCTATCTACACATGCTTCAGTAGTTTTTCTATCTACACATGCTTCAGTAGTTTTTCTATCTACACATGCTTAAGTAGTTTTCTATCTACACATGCTTCAGTAGTTTTCTATCTACACATGCTTCAGTAGTTTTTCTATCTACACATGCTTCAGTAGTTTTCTATCTACACATGCTTCAGTAGTTTTCTATCTACACATGCTTCAGTAGTTTTCTATCTACATGCTTCAGTAGTTTTCTATCTACACATGCTTCAGTAGTTTTTCTATCTACACATGCTTCAGTAGTTTTCTATCTACACATGCTTCAGTAGTTTCTATCTACACATGCTTCAGTAGTTTTCTATCTACACATGCTTCAGTAGTTTTCTATCTACACATGCTTCAGTAGTTTTCTATCTACACATGCTTCAGTAGTTTTCTATCTACACATGCTTCAGTAGTTTTCTATCTACATGCTTCAGTAGTTTTCTATCTACACATGCTTCAGTAGTTTTCTATCTACACATGCTTCAGTAGTTTTTCTATCACACATGCTTCAGTAGTTTTCTATTACACATGCTTCAGTAGTTTTCTATCTACACATGCTTCAGTAGTTTTCTATCTACACATGCTTCAGTAGTTTTCTATCTACACATGCTTCAGTAGTTTTCTACCTACACATGCTTCAGTAGTTTTCTATCTACACATGCTTCAGTAGTTTTCTATCTACACATGCTTCAGTAGTTTTTCTATCTACATGCTTCAGTAGTTTTCTATCTACACATGCTTCAGTAGTTTTCTATCTACACATGCTTCAGTAGTTTTCTATCTACACATGCTTCAGTAGTTTTCTATCTACACATGCTTCAGTAGTTTTCTATCTACACATGCTTCAGTAGTTTTTCTATCTACACATGCTTCAGTAGTTTTCTATCTACACATGCTTCAGTAGTTTTCTATCTACACATGCTTCAGTAGTTTTCTATCTACACATGCTTCAGTAGTTTTCTAGTTTTTCTATCTACATGCTTCAGTAGTTTTCTATCTACACATGCTTCAGTAGTTTTCTATCTACATGCTTCAGTAGTTTTTCTATCTACACATGCTTCAGTAGTTTTCTATCTACACATGCTTCAGTAGTTTTCTATCTACACATGCTTCAGTAGTTTTCTATCTACACATGCTTCAGTAGTTTTCTATCTACATGCTTCAGTAGTTTTTCTCTACACATGCTTCAGTAGTTTTCTATCTACACATGCTTCAGTAGTTTTCTATCTACACATGCTTCAGTAGTTTTCTATCTACACATGCTTCAGTAGTTTTCTATCTACACATGCTTCAGTAGTTTTCTATCTACACATGCTTCAGTAGTTTTCTATCTACACATCAGTAGTTTTCTATCTACACATGCTTCAGTAGTTTTCTATCTACACATGCTTCAGTAGTTTTCTATCTACACATGCTTCAGTAGTTTTCTATCTACACATGCTTCAGTAGTTTTCTATCTACACATGCTTCAGTAGTTTTCTATCTACACATGCTTCAGTAGTTTTCTATCTACACATGCTTCAGTAGTTTTCTATCTACACATGCTTCAGTAGTTTTCTATCTACACATGCTTCAGTAGTTTTCTATCTACACATGCTTCAGTAGTTTTCTATCTACACATGCTTCAGTAGTTTTTCTATCTACACATGCTTCAGTAGTTTTCTATCTACACATGCTTCAGTAGTTTTCTATCTACACATGCTTCAGTAGTTTTCTATCTACACATGCTTCAGTAGTTTTCTATCTACACATGCTTCAGTAGTTTTTCTATCTACACATGCTTCAGTAGTTTTTCTATCTACACATGCTTCAGTAGTTTTCTATCTACACATGCTTCAGTAGTTTTCTATCTACACATGCTTCAGTAGTTTTCTATCTACACATGCTTCAGTAGTTTTCTATCTACACATGCTTCAGTAGTTTTCTATCTACACATGCTTCAGTAGTTTTCTATCTACACATGCTTCAGTAGTTTTCTATCTACACATGCTTCAGTAGTTTTCTATCTACACATGCTTCAGTAGTTTTTCTATCTACACATGCTTCAGTAGTTTTCTATCTACACATGCTTCAGTAGTTTTCTATCACACATGCTTCAGTAGTTTTCTATTTACACATGCTTCAGTAGTTTTCTATCTACACATGCTTCAGTAGTTTTCTATGCTTCAGTAGTTTTCTATTTACACATGCTTCAGTAGTTTTTCTATCTACACATGCTTCAGTAGTTTTCTATCTACACATTCAGTAGTTTTCTATCTACACATGCTTCAGTAGTTTATCTACCACATGCTTCAGTAGTTTTCTATCTACACATGCTTCAGTAGTTTTCTATCTATGCTTCAGTAGTTTTCTATCTACATGCTTCAGTAGTTTTTCTATCACATGCTTCAGTAGTTTTCTATCTACACATGCTTCAGTAGTTTTCTATCTACACATGCTTCAGTAGTTTTCTATCTACACATGCTTCAGTAGTTTTCTCTACACATGCTTCATATTTTTCTACCTACACATGCTTCAGTAGTTTTTCTATTTACACATGCTTCAGTAGTTTTCTATTTACACATGCTTCAGTAGTTTTTCTATCTACACATGCTTCAGTAGTTTTCTATTTACACATGCTTCAGTAGTTTTTCTATCTACACATGCTTCAGTAGTTTTTCTATCTACACATGCTTCAGTAGTTTTCTATCTACACATGCTTCAGTAGTTTTCTATTACACATGCTTCAGTAGTTTTTCTATCTACACATGCTTCAGTAGTTTTTCTATCTACACATGCTTCAGTAGTTTTCTATCTACACATGCTTCAGTAGTTTTCTATCTACACATGCTTCAGTAGTTTTTCTATCTACACATGCTTCAGTAGTTTTCTATCTACACATGCTTCAGTAGTTTTCTATCTACACATGCTTCAGTAGTTTATCTCTCTACACATGCTTCAGTAGTTTTCTATCTACATGCTTCAGTAGTTTTCTATCTACATTCAGTAGTTTTTCTATTACACATGCTTCAGTAGTTTTCTATTTACACATGCTTCAGTAGTTTTCTATCTACACATGCTTCAGTAGTTTTCTATCTACACATGCTTCAGTAGTTTTTCTATCTACACATGCTTCAGTAGTTTTCTATCTACACATGCTTCAGTAGTTTTCTATTTACACATGCTTCAGTAGTTTTCTATTTACACATGCTTCAGTAGTTTTCTATCTACACATGCTTCAGTAGTTTTCTATCTACACATGCTTCAGTAGTTTTCTATCTACACATGCTTCAGTAGTTTTCTATCTACACATGCTTCAGTAGTTTTCTATCTACACATGCTTCAGTAGTTTTCTATCTACACATGCTTCAGTAGTTTTTCTATCTACACATGCTTCAGTAGTTTTCTCTACACATGCTTCAGTAGTTTTCTATCTACACATGCTTCAGTAGTTTTATCTACACATGCTTCAGTAGTTTTCTATCTACACATGCTTCAGTAGTTTTCTATCTACACATGCTTCAGTAGTTTTTCTATCTACACATGCTTCAGTAGTTTTTCTATCTACACATGCTTCAGTAGTTTTCTATCTACACATGCTTCAGTAGTTTTCTATCTACACATGCTTCAGTAGTTTTCTATCTACACATGCTTCAGTAGTTTATCTACACATGCTTCAGTAGTTTTCTATCTACACATGCTTCAGTAGTTTTCTATCTACACATGCTTCAGTAGTTTTCTATCTACACATGCTTCAGTAGTTTTTCTATCTACACATGCTTCAGTAGTTTTTCTATCTACACATGCTTCAGTAGTTTTCTATCTACACATGCTTCAGTAGTTTTTCTATCTACACATGCTTCAGTAGTTTTCTATTTACACACGCTTCAGTAGTTTTTCTATCTACACATGCTTTAGTAGTTTTTCTATCTACACATGCTTCAGTAGTTTTCTATTTACACATGCTTCAGTAGTTTTTCTATCTACACATGCTTCAGTAGTTTTCTATCTACACATGCTTCAGTAGTTTTTCTATCTACACATGCTTCAGTAGTTTTCTATCTACACATGCTTCAGTAGTTTTTCTATCTACACATGCTTCAGTAGTTTTCTATCTACACATGCTTCAGTAGTTTTTCTATCTACACATGCTTCAGTAGTTTTCTATCTACACATGCTTCAGTAGTTTTCTATTACACATGCTTCAGTAGTTTTCTATCTACACATGCTTCAGTAGTTTATCTATCTACACATGCTTCAGTAGTTTTTCTATCTACACATGCTTCCATGGTTTTTCTACCTACACATGCTTCAGTAGTTTTTCTATTTACACATGCTTCAGTAGTTTTCTATTTACACATGCTTCAGTAGTTTTTCTATCTACACATTCAGTAGTTTTTCTATCTACACATGCTTCAGTAGTTTTTCTATCTACACATGCTTCAGTAGTTTTTCTATCTACACATGCTTCAGTCGCTTTTCTACGTACACATGCTTATGTAGTTTTTCTATTAAAAATGCTTCAGTAGTTTTTCTATCTACACATGCTTCAGTAGTTTTTCTATCTACACATGCTTCAGTAGTTTTTCTATCTACACATTCTTCAGTAGTTTTTCTATCTACAAATGCTTCAGTAGTTTTTCTATCTACACATGCTTCAGTACATCATCCTTTACACTGACCATTCCTTCCATCATATCTATCTTTAGTAATTTAGAAATGTTGTCCATTCTTTAGGTTGCAAACCTCTGATTCCATAGTTCTAAATTTGGACTTTCTTTTGCAGGGTACACCTTCTCTGTTTGAGTGACTTTGACTATATACAGTTTTCCATACACCTCACCAACTCGCAACAATTTAGAATTCTTGAAGAACTTGTCAGTATTCACTTTTTTTAAACTCAACAGTTGCTCCAATTTTACTCCTGGCTTGAACAGACGGCAAATTTCTCTTCAGTTCGGGAAAATAGAGCACGTTTTTCATTGCTGTACGTTGATGTAACTTATTTAACCAGTGGTCAAACGATAATTTTCTTTCCCATATGACAATATTACACGTTCATAGCCAAGATTTACTTTCGTTAGCTTTCTCAATTCTTCATAGTCCGATAAATTGTCATGTTCACACTTCATATACTAAATTGCACCAGAATAATTTATGCAATCAAATCTATTCTCTTTACATTTATGATAAACGCCACCTAATTAATTTTTTCTTGATTATCTTTTTTAGCACAATGTGCTGACTTTTTTCCTTTGTAGTGTAAATCAAAGATTAAATTGTTCTTTCTTTGTAGACAATATCGTGTAAAATATCTTCATGAGTGACATATTCATATATAAGAATGCTGGTGTTCACTTTAATTTTGCTGTAGTCCTTTATTTCCTTTCACCTTGAATGATCAATGAGTAGCATTTTTTCATCTTTTTTGGTATTTAGTATTAGATCTGCATCATTCAGTAAAATACCTTTAACGTTTTGATAAGATTTTTCTTCAATCGTATCTAAAGCTATAATCAGCAGCTTGTAGTCTTCCGGCAAACCGGGAAGAAGGGTCTTTGCTAATTTTTGATAATTATTTTTACAATTTTTGATCTTTTTGTCTCCCAAACAAATGTACGTCTATCTATTCTTCGAAGCAATTCCAAATGCTCGCTTCACCCAATGAAACGCGTCTTCTGATAGGATTTTATCTGATCCATCCGCATGATCAAACAAATGTACGTCCATCCTTTCTTTGAAGCAATTCTAAATTCTCGCTTCACATGATGAGACGCGTCTTCTTGTAGGATTTCATCTGATCCATCCGCATGATCAAACAAATGTGCGTCCATCCTTTCTTCAAAGCAATTCTAAATGCTCGCTTCACCCAATGAAACGCGTCTTCTGATAGGATTTTATCTGATCCATCCGCATGATCAAACAAATGTACGTCCATCCTTTGTTTGAAATTCTAAATTCTCGCTTCACCTGATGAGACGCGTCTTCTGGTAGGATTTCATCTGATCCATCCATTTCAAAAATGTACGTCCATCCTTTCTTTGAAGCAATTTTAAATTCTCGCTTTACCTGATGAGACGCGTCTTCTGGTAGGATTTCATCTGATCCATCTGCATTATCAAAAAAATGTACGTCCATACTTTTTTTGAAGCAATTTTAAAGGCTCGCTTCACCTGATGAGACGCGTCTTCTGGTAGGATTTCATCTGATCCATCCACATAATCAAACAATGTACGTCCATCCTTTCTTTGAAGCAATTTTAAATTCTCGCTTCACCTGATGAGACGCGTCTTCTGGTAGGATTTCATCTGATCCATCCACATGATCAAACAATGTACGTCCATCCTTTCTTTGAAGCAATTCTAAATGCTCGCTTCACCCGATGAGACGCGTCTTCTGGTAGGATTTCATCTGATCCATCCGCATGACCAAAAAAATGTACGTCCATCCTTTCTTTGAAGCAATTCTAAATGCTTGCTTCACCTGATGAAACGCGTCCTTTGGTAGGATTTCGTCTGATCCATCCACATGATCAAACAATGTACGTCCATCCTTTCTTTGAAGCAATTTTAAATGCTCGCTTCACCCGATGAGACGCGTCTTCTGGTAGGATTTCATCTGACCCATCCGCATGATGAAAAAAAAGGAAGGCCATCCTTTCTTCGAAGCAATTCTAAATGCTCGCTTCACCCAAAGAGACGCGTCTTCTGGTACGATTTCATGTGATCCATCCACATTGTCAATTAAATTAATAATTTTCAGAAACAAACCCATATTAATTGCCCAATTTCTATTATTTTTTCTTTTGAACTTCGGTATTTAACACGAAAGATCCGTCGACAAGGCCAATCTAAATACTAACTGCTTATTTTAAAAAATATACTCTTCAATGTACATATAACAACGCGCTCCAGACACGCATTCAAGCCTTCTAGTCCGTGACCTGTTAAAATAATAAGACGGATCTTTTTTGTGTGACGTCATTTAATTCACGTGCAAAGTTTTATCTCATTAAATAAAAAGAAACGGGCAATCCCTGATTTCCCATCAATCTTACCTTGAATAACTTCGTCAATGTAGACAATCTAAACTAAATATTCAGCACATCTCCTGATACATTATTGAAAACATCATCTGCATCACCACGTTCTTATTCAAGTAGTCTGGCATGCAAGGAATCACTAAAAAAGAATAAAATTTACCAAATGGTTTTGAAAACTTTCTATAGTTGTCTTAATTTGAGCAAGAGTTAGATTCATTTTGCCCTTTAAATGCTCGCTCTTTTTTAGATACGACAACATCAATATTACTTTCTTCTCTTTTCTGGCTTTCATTCTCATAATGTCGCTTCATGACCACTTTTATTGTTCTTAGAAAATAATTTCTACGCACTTGTTTTAATCCATATCCATCGTGTTCAACATGGTGTACGTTTAAAAAAAACAATTTATGTTTTTACGTTCCTGGAAACTGTCCTGTTACGTTCCTGGAACGCATTGTTTCATCAATGCAAAGTAAAAACTTTCGTTTCACGTACAATTTATTACTTATATAGTTAATCGCTTATCTTATTTTATGCTTAATCATTTATCTTAAATTGACAAGTTTTATTAAACAATTCATCGTTTCTTAAAATTAAAAAACAATTTTTGCCATTACAAGTCAATCTTCATAGCTAATGGAAAACACAATTGTGCTATCAAGACAATGTGTGATCTGTTACAAATTATTGCAAAACAAGTATATTTCAAATGTCATATGTTGTATATTGAATTTTTAGAATTTCTTGATTTTAGTCATGTTGACATATCATGTTGAATTTGTGTACAGATGGAATCAAGAGGAACAAGAAATTTGTCTTACATTCAGCAAATAATTAATGTGGTACAAACGGAACTTGCTCAATTTTTCATCAAAGAATGGAACTCTCGTTACAAATCAACGCATGGAGAATGGGACGATACGAAAATAGTGGCAAAAATTTTGCACTTTAGAATCAGGTAGGAAGTTGGATAAAAAACTACAGTTCAAATATCAAGATGGAGACACCAGTAAGTGGGACTGTACGATATTATTTGATGCTATACTTTTTTCAAATTCAATTGGAAAGCTTCTTGACAAAAAAACAAAGGATGCTGTTCATGCACTTCGTTGTGAAAGAAACAAATACGCACATTGGTATGAAAGAGAATGTTCAGATGATGATTTTGATGATATGGTCAGTATCATTGAAAAATCATTTCAAGATTTGAAATTTTCTCTCGATGAAATCAATAAAACAAAAAATCATCGTGACAGTTATGATTTATTCCAAGTTCTTCCTTCAAAACCTAATCATTTTTTCGTTGAACGCATTGAACTACGAGATAAAATTATAAAAGATCTTGAAAAATTAAGGAATGATAACAATGATCAACTGACGTATTTTTACATCACTGGTAATCCTGGCTGTGGTAAATCGCAACTTGCAAAACAGGTTTGTGAAAAGTTATCGTGTGATTGGAAAAATAGAACTTCGTTTGTAATGACTCTTGATGGAAAAATGAGGAATCTCTTTAAATACTTACTCTGAACTTGGATACGGTTTAAACTGTGACAAGTATATGATTAACAAATTTGAAAATGAAAACTGTTCCACCACAGACAAAGTGAAGAAATTGCGATCGTTAGTATCCACCCGAATAAAATTCTGGCAAAATTGGTTGATCATTGTAGACAACGTGGTACAGCTCAACAAAATTTCTTCGTTACTTCCCCAAGTTGGTGATCCCATGTGGATAAATGGACAAATCATAGTAACTATCCAGAACACAGATGCCGTACCTCAAGACGATGAGTTTAACAAACATATTTCTATCGGAAGTGGAATGAATGATGAAGAATGTTTTCAACTGTTGAAGCACTACACTATTGAACATGCTGATGATCAATTGTTGAATGAAGTATCGCACGCATTAGATCGTCAACCTCTGGCTTTGGCTGCTGCAGGTTATTATTTCAGTCGTGTAAACAAAGCAAACTGCTCATTTACTTGGAGACAATATTTAAAGAAAATATCTTCACAAGAAGAAGAAAACATGGACGCCACTTTTGTTAAATTTAACTCCGTATATCCTAGAAGTATGTTACAAGCTTCACTTTTAGCTGTCAAACAAAATGCTGAAGAATCCTCAATATTGGCAAATGTTATAAACTTTTTTTCCGTGATATCGTTTGATCCTATACTACGAGACATTATTGTTTTTTATGTTCAAGAAATTGATCCCAAACACTCAAAAGAAGATATATGTCTTTGTTTAAAGGACTGCTCATTGTTCTTGCATTCAGAAAATAATGACATTAGTCTACATCGCATTGTTCACAAAGCAATTATTGTTTATCAATCTGAACATTCAAATGAAGAACATGAAATGGAGACTAACGTTGATCAAATATCAAAAGCACTTTACATGTTTAAAGAGAGAGACGACGAAATCAAATTAATGCCACATCTTGAAAAAATTGTTCAATTATTAAAGACCAACAAGACAAAATCAACATGAACACTTTACAAGTTTTCGAATATTTTGTTGAGAGATTAAGACATTTTGGAAAATACGATCTTGCTCTTGAACTATTGGATAAATTTAAATCAGAAGAATCTAGTTATGACAAAGCTTGGTATTTTAGTATCCTCGGTATTTTATACGAAGACACCGGGAAGTTTAGCAAAGCTAAAAATCATCATGAAAAGGCTCTGAAAATTCAAAAACAATCGCTAGGTCCAAATCATGTTGATGTCGCTCAGTCTTTAAACAATCTTGGTAGTGTGTATTATAATATTTGTAACTACCACAAAGCTATAGAGTTTTACGGAAAAGCTCTGGAAATTCGAAAACAATCGTTAGGTCCAAATCATGTTGATGTCGCTGCCTCTTTAAACAATCTTGGTAATGTTTTATATAACTGGAAACTACGACAAAGCTATAGAGTTTTACGAAAAGCTCTGGAAATTCGAAAACAATCGTTAGGTCCAAATCATGTTGATGTCGCTGCGTCTTTAAACAATCTTGGTTCGGTGTATTATGAAACTGGAAACTACGACAAAGCTATAGAGTTTTATGAAAAAGCTCTGGAAATTCGAAAACAATCGTTAGGTCCAAATCATGTTGATGTTGGTGGGTCTTTAAACAATCTTGGTAATGTGTATAATGATACTGGAAACTACCACAAAGCTATAGAATTTCATGAAAAAGCTCTGGAAATTAAAAAACAATCGTTACGTCCAAATCATGTTGATGTAGCCTTGTCTTTAAATAATCTTGGCTCGGTGTATTATGAAACTGGAAACTACGACAAAGCTATAGAGCTTTATGAAAAAGCTCTGGAAATTCGAAAACAATCGTTAGGTCCAAATCATGTTGATGTTGGTGGGTCTTTAAACAATCTTGGTAATGTGTATAATGATACTGGAAACTACAACAAAGCTATAGAATTTCATGAAAAAGCTCTGCAAATTCGAAAACAGTCGTTAGGTCCAAATCATGTTGATGTCGCTGCGTCTTTTACCAATCTTGGTGAGGTGTTTACTAAATCTGGAAACTACGACAAAGCTATAGAGTTTAGCGAAAAAGCTCTGGAAATTCAAAAACTATCGTTAGGTCCAAATCATGTTGATGTCGCTATGTCTTTAAACAATCTTGGTGTCGTGTTTGATAAAACTGGAAATTACGACAAAGCTATAGAGTTTCATGAAAAAGCTCTGCAAATTCGAAAACAATCGTTAGGTCCAAACCATCTTGATGTCGCTTCGTCTTTAAACAATCTTGGTACTCTGTATCATGAAACTGGAAACTACGACAAAGCTATGGAGTTTTGCGAAAAAGCTCTGGAAATTCGAAAACAATCGTTAGGTCCAAATCATGTTGATGTCGCTTCGTCTTTAAATAATCTTGGTAATGTGTTTGAAAAAACTGGAAACTACGACAAAGCTATAGAGTTTAGCGAAAAAGCTCTGGAAATTCAAAAACTATCGTTAGGTCTAGATCATGTTGATGTCGCTATGTCTTTAAACAATCTTGGTGTCGTGTTTGATAAAACTGGAAATTACGACAAAGCTATAGAGTTTCATGAAAAAGCTCTGCAAATTCGAAAACAATCGTTAGGTCCAAACCATCTTGATGTCGCTTCGTCTTTAAACAATCTTGGTACTCTGTATCATGAAACTGGAAACTACGACAAAGCTATGGAGTTTTGCGAAAAAGCTCTGGAAATTCGAAAACAATCGTTAGGTCCAAATCATGTTGATGTCGCTTCGTCTTTAAATAATCTTGGTAATGTGTTTGAAAAAACTGGAAATTACGACAAAGCTGTAGAGTTTTACGAAAAGGCTCTGGAAATTAAAAAACAATCGTTAGGTCCAAATCATATTAGTGTCGCTGCGTTTTTAAACAATATTGGTTTGGTGTTTGATAAAACTGGAAATTAAGACAAAGCTATAGAATTCCATAAAAAAGCTAAGGAAATTCGCAAAAAAACGTCAGGAACTAGTCATGTTGATGTCGCTAAGTCTTTTAAACAATCTAGGTGTGATATATTATGAAACTTGGGAATATAACAAAGCTTGACAGTTACACTTTGGTAGCTACGTGTTTTAAAGAAAATTGTACCTTCCAAATTATGTTAAGCCTATTTTTAACACATAGGCCGTAGGTGCAAGGCTTCCACCTACCAAGTCAACTCCCCTCTCCCTGAGAAGGTATTTTTGGTACTGAACAAAACGTTTGCAGTTTGCATTTTGTGAGGTAAAATGAATCTAAAGATGTAACGGTCCTTGTCTATATATAGTTTCCCTGATATCTAGTCAATAAACTTACCCTACAGCCCAGGAATCATCCTAAGTAGAACTTAGAACTGCCCAAGCTCTGAATGTGACATTTTCCTTTAGATTTTATTTCTAAAGTAATTTGTTTTTATGTTATAACCAAGTAGTAATTTTTATTGTATGATTCACAAACATACTAAAGTGTATTGGGATGACAGAATTTTATGACATAAATTATTTTAGATAAAAATTATCCAGTCATTTTCATATTTTTCGATGCATTCAGTAGTTTTTACCCAGCTCCATAAGCCTAAGACCATATTCCAGGTTCCTATAATTTCCAAGGGGTACACCTTTCATACCATACATACCACCCCACCATGTTGCAGCCAATATTCCTGTGCTGTCACTATCTTCACCATAAAACATAGAACAAGAACACAATTGAAAACAAGAATCTTTGCCATCATCAAAGCATCGTAAGCAATCATAGGTGCATCATGACCACTGGATCCACCCCAACCTGCATAACTCACAGATTTATAAAAAGCATCACGTTCAGGTATGTTATATGTCACTGGAAACTTTGGTTCGCTGGTTCCATTTGCTAATCCCCGTAGTTCAAGACATGACTCCCAACTATTTTTAAAGTAGCTCCAAGCTTTGTTGTTTTCTTCTACATCACGACCAACCTTCTCAATGTATTCCCAAACTTTGGGTAAAACACTAAAAAGTCCTGCACCCCATTTTTCGGAGGTATCTTCTGTATAGCATAGGCTGTAAATAAAGCTGCAGTAACAGCCCCTGGTCTTATAGAAGTCAATGGTGAATACCTGTAGGGTGATTGTGAGTCATCCTTCCACTTTCAACAGTAATTTCAATTAACATTTCAATTTGATCTTCACAAGGAAACATCCAACCTATACACATGGATCTCATAGCTGCATCACATCCACCACCTCGTGCATTAAATGGTATAATGTAACCTTTTTCCTCAAGAGGTCGTAACATGAAACATGCCTTAGTTGTGGTCTGCCCAGGAGCTCTTTCAAACATATCCACAGTACATGTCTTCTTGTACTTCGTAGCCATAATGCACAATAACTCTTCCGTTGTTGCCCATTCAGAAACCAACGCTTCTGCTGTAGCAATGTGTAGTACAGTGTCGTCACTAACCCTCCATCCTTTAATGTCAATTTTATCAAGTCCTCCGAGTTTTTCTAGTTCTTCATGAATTTTAGTACCACTGTAACAGAATTCCCACAAACCATTTTTATAACCTAGAGCATCTCCCACTCCACTGAGAACCATAACTACTTCGTATTTCTCGGATAAATCGGCCGTATTTTCAAGAGCAATTTTTAATATGTTTACTTCACTGTAGTTTAATGAACGCTGAACATGGGTTTTGTAAACACGGAAAACACTAAGCTTCCTTTAACTTAGTCAACTAATAAAAACAAAAATCATTTCTTTGCTTTTTTAATATTGCTTCAAATTATTTTGTTTAGACGAGAGCGTTGGGAGACTGGGATTTGGTTACTTTGTAATCCTTAATCTTTACTTGATTCCATAATCTTCTATCCGATTAACAGTTTGCTCGTTGCAAATTTAAAAGTTTCTTTCTTAGATCATGGATTATCCACTCATGGATTTAATCCTGACTTGACAATTTGATTGCCCATAAAAGAATTTGAACAAAACTTCACGAAACTTCGCAGAGAGTAAATTAGAAGAGAGAAACAAATATATCAAACAAAACTCACACCTTTTTGTAATCATTGACTATAAAAAATAGGTGCGCAATGCGTACACGTAGGTAGCCTATCAAGTAAATAGGGCTAAATGAAGTTGGTTAATGAAAATAATTGAAACAAAATTGTATATTTAATATCATTTACACCAAATTCGTTCAATATTTAAATTTTAATTTTAGTTATATGACTAAGTAAGTGTTTAACCATTTCTGCATTTTTTGAACGTTTTACCTTAGATTGCACCTAAGCCTCATAAATGCATGTGCTCACAAGAATCGCAACAAGGAAAGTAATGTCATTTAGATTTCTTGCGACTTTTAAAGGGTTTTTTTCACTGAAAACCATTTTTTCTATGATTGTACTTTAAAAACGTTTTCTGACGTGTCTTAGATGTCGCTCAGAGAACGCTTTTCTCCGTAACGATGAATACTGTATTTGTTCGAACAACTACATCGGTGTGCTAATTTTGTTTAGTTCCGAATAAATAGCAACATGCAATTCTATACAAGTCAATTTTTGAGTCGTAATGTTTCTAGATATTTCTCAAAATAACAAAATTTTCACAGGATTATGTCACCGACGATTCTTTGCTTATTGCATATAACTTCTGCTTCATCTTTGTACGAAAACAGACGCTTCACAGTTCACATACATAGTAAATGGCTTGAACCCGGGAGTATCGTTCCATGTTTGTAAATGTAGATCGTCCAGGTTGGTATAGTCCTGAGAAGGACTGTTTTTGTTGTTGTTGACTGACGTTTCGACAACCTTGTTTGTAAAAAAAACAGAGCTTTGAACCACATGGTGGTGTGCATGTCTATAAGACAAAAATTCTGTTTGGTTTACAGTTCTTGACTAATTTAGTCCCGCCACGTTTGAGGTTCCTTGGGTTAAAATTAGGTCAATCAACTAATCAGAAACTAATTATTTAATCCAATTACAGCAATGGACATACAACCAAACATTGGACTTGATCTCTACAAATCATTGCAATTTTTACCAAAGGATTCTCTATCAGCTTTCCCTCCATTTGGTTTATTAGATCATCATGTAATGTATAATTATCTTATATCCAAGCATGAGATCTACTTTTCCCATTTGTATTAAAGGCGACAAACGCCTATTTTGTCTTATTCAACTAAAACGAGCTAAAGTTCCACAATCATATATTGTGAATTTGTGCACCACCTCATCTGTATAAGTTGACGTGCCACTCCAAGTAGAGCACAATGTAAAAAGTCAGGAACAAAATCATCAACCATGTAAAAGTGACCAATCTTTGAAAACATACTTGGCCCTTTCACACCCATTATTACAGTTTCTTTTCCAAAGCTTCTAATACCCACAATTCCATTTCATGATGGGGTGCGTTGTTTTTGAGCCTCGCGTCAAATTGATAAACTCGCGTGCTCCCTCTACCACGCACTACTTGTATTCCTAAAACGCGAAACGTATCCAAATAATATGAATACAATGCATAGCATAATCCTGCTTGCAAGTTGTTTATTAAATTACATGTAGTCACATGGCTTTAACTCTAGTTTTGAATCAACGACTTACGCAGAAATGTCAGTCATTTGAGCCTGTGCACATCACACAATTTGATTCATTCTCGCAATGGCAAAACTAGTTGAAAAGGGCAAGATTTGTCTGAAAGTTCTAAAGGAAACTAGTTAAGCCGTATCTGTATTTGGCAAATTTCATAGAATGAATGTTACTTAAATAGTTTTCCTCGATAAATTTCCTTGCCGTCTCAAATGACAAACATTTCTGGGTCTGTACAAGGAAGATTATGGGAGAAATGTCGTTGAGAGTAAACTTGCAGATTTGGTTAGAATCAAATGTCACAGTTTAAATCGCATATGATAAAAATAAAACACAGTATACCTGCATGGAGAGACCAATCGCACCCACAAACGCCATTAAACTGCCTCGTATTTTTCAGTTTATGTCTTGCAGGGGCATCAGCAGAGCAAATAGGGGCAAAAACCCGTATACGATGACCATGGAATAAGAATCCTAAGACAAATTGATACAGTTTTTTAGCATGGATTGAACTTATCAGAACCACGAAAATAAATCTTTTTGATTCATTTAATAAAGAGGCGAGTACCTTTCACTAGTTTGGTAAAAACGGCACAACAAAAGTGAGCCTGTAGGGCTAAACTTACTGTAGACAAACTTACTGTGTCATACCTTGCATCAAGTTAGGCTAAAATATATAAATGTTAGAATGAACTTTACCTTAGAGAAAAAGTAGTGGGGGAAGTGGTCAATCAAGCTCCCTCTTTGGCGCTGTGCTTATTTGGTCTAACATATTGTTAAACTGCCCAAATTTAAATGAACCTTGTACATGCACATGATGTTGTTACTTTAGTTGCCAGCTGTTCAGTTTCTTCAACAAAATGTTGCAGCAGATGATTCATGTTTAATTTGCACTTTGAAAACCATAATGCTGGCATGACTATATGCTTTTTACGAAGATCTGTTGGCAGTTCTAAAATGATACACTGTATTGGCCATAGATCTTTATTAGATGACCCATAAAATAAGCAATAAAATTTTTACACAAAAATAGCAAATGGTCTTTATGAGATAATAAAATAGTTTATTATAGCTAGCACATTTTCAATTCGTAAAATAGTTATTAGAAATTTCTCATCAAAGACAATTTAAACATATCTGAAGGTAGCTAAGCAGATCAAGCACTTACTAATTAAATTTATTCATACACTATAAATGATTTGCACATTTTACATAAATTGCAAATGCTCAAATCACTAGCTTCAAATATCACTACGTTATGAAGTTTGGATTATTCTTTTCCTTCATACAACAGACGCATTATGTAATTAAATGCAAAGCGAGAGAACCATGCAAATTAAACAAAGAAAATTACCTACCAAAAAACAGGAATACCAACAGCATTCTACAGCAAAGAAATATTATTTGGTCCATAACCATGAACTTCCTTAAGTTTTTTGTACACATGTCCATCCGTGGCATCAGTTATAAAATCATTATTATGATGCTTTACAGGTTGGTTAAGTAGATACTGGGCAGCAGTATTATCCTGCAGAATCAGTTCAAGTTGTGATTGTAACGACCAGTAAGAAAAATAACTGTAAACCACGACGAACAGTTGACCTACAGGCCTAAATGCAAACGCCACTAGGGAGACCCACCACACCCAGAGCCCTTTTCACCAGGCCCGCTCTGTCCCCAGTGGCAAAAAGAAATCAGTGTTCCACTGCTGGAACGGTTATCACAGCGTTCCCCTTCACCTAGACGATAGACACCTCACCACTTTTATCACTCCTTGGGGTCGCTATCGGTATAAGTCAGCGCCACAAGGGTACATTGCCTCGGGGGACGGTTACTCACGCCGGTTCGATGAGATTGTATCACACATTCCAAACAAAACCAAATGCATAGACGAAATACATTTCATATTACACTAAATACACGAAACTGTCAACGACGGTATTTTCAAATCAGCGAATTTATGTGGATGTCTGTTTATCAGACAATATTTCAAGCAGTTACCGATGGTTTTTGCATACATGCACCTATAAAATCCTCGCTATATTTAGTCAGTTTATAAATGATTATTTGCTTTTCGATTTATCTCTATTGTTCTCGTAAATATCTCAATGGTTTTTATTGATGCTACTGATTTTTGGTTTGATTTTTCAATGTGACATTGGTCATTACTATGCAATTAATACAAATACACTAAATTTGCCATCTGTCTCGAACACACCATGTGGTTGTGTGCACAGAGGTACAGTTTTCACAGCTTGTGGTGTAGACTTGCAAAGAACAAAAGCCGTAATTGTCTTTTGATCAATTTTTTACGACTCCCTGCGATATTTTTAGCAGTTGAGAAACCTCATGGCAAAGAGATTGCCTTTAAATCTTCTCTTAAGCCAGGTATAGGACTGCAAGTTTCAATGAATACTTGGACAAAATTAAAGTGTACTTTCTAAATTCATTATCGTGTCATTAATCTCACTCTACCACATCATGTTTCGTTATTTTGCATAACGACATTAAAACGCGAAATATCTGAAAATTCTTATGAACTTTTTTTATTTAAACGCATTCAAGGATTACTTATTGTCTTTAAGAGAGGTGACAAGCTCCTAAAGGGGCCAGTCAAAATAAAAAATTTTAGTCATGACGTCAATTAAAAAATTTTTAACATATTTAAATTCGTGTGTTTTAACTTCAACTTCAACGGAAAATTAGTCACTTTAACTTTGTCGTAAGAAAGGTAATTTTTTTTTACTGAGAAAGTAAGTATGAGTTACTTGGAATAATCAACTAGTCTTCCTCGAATTCCAAATATGAAAGCTTTCACTGTAAAATGCTTCGATCGCGATGTTAAGCCTTTAATTGTTTGAAATTTCTTGTTGCATCGTTCAAAGTCAACTGACTAAAGCTATTCGTGCAATGTAGGTAAATGTTCTACCATTTGGATAGTCTAACAGAAAACATATTACAATTTTCTTATTCTCAATATATCTGATTAAAAATTTAAAAACGCAAACTATCGTATTATGTAGAGTTATTCATCATGAAATCTCATACATATGTTTCGTATTTTCTTATATTGTAGATCCCACATGGATGGAGTTATGAAAGTCTCTTTATCTCCTGTGTCATTCACTTCGATTACTCTTACTAGTTTGTCA